TGAATATATATATATATATATATATATATATATATATATATATATATATATATATATATATATATATATAATATATATATATATATATATGTGTGTGTGTGTGTGTGTGTGTCGTGCCGAATATGTAAAACTGGTCAATTAGCAATAACTCTTTTAAAATTAAGTCCTTTCTAAAATTTTCTCTTATACGTTTAAAGATTTATTTTTTTCATTATTGCTAATGTAAAAAAAATTTTATTTGGCTCCAAAAGAATCTTAGAAAACTTACCTAACCTAGTTATAACAAGAGCAATTTATTTTAGCCTAACCCAACTAAATATATTGTAGATTTGTTAACAATAATTTAATACTAAACAAACACAGCGAAATATTTTTTTCGTTAGGTTCAGAATGATTTTGGCGAAATTATTGCAAACACAAATTTTCGCTTGTCCTATATGGCTTAAATAGCGTTGCTATTTAAGCCAAGATCGCAAGTTCTGCACTTTAAAAACTGTAGTGTAACGCACCCTTCTGGCAAGACAGTGATGGAGTGAATGATGGTGAAAGTTTTTCTTTTTCGGGCCACCCTGTCTTGGTGGGAATCCGCCAGTGTGTTAATAATAATAATAATAATATATATATATATATATATATATATATATATATATATATATATATATTATATTGTGTGTGTGTGTGTGTGTGTGTGTGTGTGTGTGTGTGTGTGTGTGTGTGTGTATTAATACATATCAATTAACAGACAATTAAAACAATGTAAATAATACAAATTAAATGAAAATATGGAATCAAATCGACGTAATCAAAAAAGTTGCTTTAATCTCATCAAATCTTAGTAATCTAAACGAGGAAATCCAACCTTGTCAAGATCAGCCTTCAGTATCAGTGACACAAGAGGAAGTTGCAGGCAACCTATACAACTCATCACAGAGGAGGAAGCTGCAGGTATCCTACACAACTTGTCACGAAGAAGGAAGCTGCAGGCAACATACACAACTCATCACAGAGGAGGAAGCTGCAGGTATCCTACACAACTTGTCACGGAGAAGGAAGCTGCAGGCAACATACACAACTCATCACAGAGGAGGAAGCTGCAGGTATCCTACACAACTTGACACAGAGGAGGAAGCTGCAGGTATCCTACACAACTTGACACAGAGGAGGAAGCTGCAGGCATCCTACACAACTTGTCACAGAGGAGGAAGCTGCAGGCATCCTACACAACTTGTCACGGAGGAGGAAGCTGCAGGCATCCTACACAACTGGTCACGGAGGAGGAAGCTGTAGGCAACATACACAACTCATCACAGAGGAGGAAGCTGCAGGTATCCTACACAACTTGTCACAGAGGAGGAAGCTGCAGGTATCCTACACAACTTGACACAGAGGAGGAAGCTGCAGGCATCCTACACAACTTGTCACAGAGGAGGAAGCTGCAGGCATCCTACACAATTTGTCACGGAGGATGAAGTTGCAGGCAACATACACAACTTGTCACGGAGGAGGAAGCTGCAGGCATCCTACACAACTTGTCACGGAGGAGGAAGCTGCAGGCATCCTACACAACTTGTCACGGAGGAGGAAGTTGCAGGCAACATACACAACTTGTCACGGAGAAGGAAGCTGCAGGCAACATACACAACTCATCACAGAGGAGGAAGCTGCAGGAATCCTACACAACTTGACACAGAGGAGGAAGCTGCAGGCATCCTACACAACTTGTCACAGAGGAGGAAGCTGCAGGCATCCTACACAACTTGTCACGGAGGAGGAAGCTGCAGGCATCCTACACAACTGGTCACGGAGGAGGAAGCTGTAGGCAACATACACAACTTGTCACAGAGGAGGAAGCTGCAGGCATCCTACACAACTTGTCACAGAGGAGGAAGCTGCAGGCATCCTACACAACTTGTCACAGAGGAGGAAGCTGCAGGCATCCTACACAACTTGTCACAGAGGAGGAAGCTGCAGGCATCCTACGCAACTTGTCACGGAGGAGGAAGCTGCAGGCAACATACACAACTTGTCACGGAGGAGGAAGCTACAGGCAACCTACACAACTTGCCACGGAGGAGGAAGCTGCAGGCAACATACACAACTTGTCACGGAGGAGGAAGCTACAGGCAACCTACACAAATTGTCACGGAGGAGGAAGCTGCAGGCATCCTACGCAACTTGTCACGGAGGAGGAAGCTGCAGGCATCCTACACAACTTGTCACGGAGGAGGAAGCTGCAGGCAACATACACAACTTGTCACGGAGGAGGAAGCTGCAGGCATCCTACACAACTTGTCACAGAGGAGGAAGCTGCAGGCATCCTACACAACTTGTCACAGAGGAGGAAGCTGCAGGCATCCTACGCAACTTGTCACGGAGGAGGAAGCTGCAGGCATCCTACACAACTTGTCACGGAGGAGGAAGCTGCAGGCATCCTACACAACTTGTCACAGAGGAGGAAGCTGCAGGCAACATACACAACTTGTCACGGAGGAGGAAGCTGCAGGCAACACACACAACTTGTCACGGAGGAGGAAGCTGCAGGCAACACACAACTTGTCACGGAGGAGGAAGCTGCAGGCAACACACACACTTTGTAACAGAGGAGGAAGCTGCAGGCAACATACACAACTTGTCACGGAGGAGGAAGCTGCAGGCAACATACACAACTTGTCACGGAGGAGGATGCTGCAGGCAACATACACAACTTGTCACGGAGGAGGAAGCTGCAGGCAACCTACACTACTTGTCAACTTGTCATGGAGGAGGAAGCTGCAGGCATCCTACACAACTTGTCACGGAGGAGGAAGCTGCAGGCAACATGCACAATTTGTCACGAAGGAAGCTGCAGGCAACATACACATCTTGATACAAAGGCAGCATCTGCAGCAACACACTCAACCAGTTGGAAAACACCACCAGCAGGGATGTGAAGACTCATGTGGTGTTATCCCGGTGTTATCGTGTTATCCAGGTGTTATCCTGGCCTCACCCTGATTTTATATTGCACAACAAATATGGCAGTATATCTCGACTGATCTGTAGATTTCTTCAGTGGAAGTAGTGGCTCTCCACTTGAGAACCAGCGGAACCATGGAAAATGAGGTAATCGGTCCTCAGCCTAGAAGAAACGTTTGTCCTGGCGTTTAATGGAGTTATCTTTATGTTATCCTGATGCTGCCGTAATGTCATCTTGCGCCATCCTGGTTTCCCATAGTTCAATTGTTAGCGGACTCAGCTCACACACTGAGGTCCGTGGTTCGATCCCCGGAATGGGCGTAATCATTAGAACGTGTTTAATTACGATATCTGCTGTCACTCCTTACCGAGGAGTAAAATAGGTACCTGGGTGTTAGTCGACTGGTGTGGGTCGCATCCTGGGAACAAAATTGACCTAATTTGCGGGAAATGTTCCACATAACAAGGGACTTTCTATATAGTAGTGTGTCACTTATGTCAGCTATGGTATGTATAAGTTGTATCATGTACTTGTAGTAATAAGGATTATCCGGATATTAGCCAGCCGTTATCCTGGCTTTATCCCACCACCACTATCACCACTACCAGCAGTATCAACACTTTCATCAGATCAACCAGCAGCACCACCACCACCACAATCATGGTCCACTACTTCCACAATGGTCCACTACTACTATTATGGTCCACTACTATTATCATAGTCCATTATCACCATGGCCCACCAGTACCACCATGGTCCACCACTACCACCATGGTCCACCACTACCACCATGGTCCACCACTGCCACCATTGTCCACCAATACAATTATGGTACACTATCACCATGGCCCACCTACCACCATGGTCCACTACTGCTATTACCACCGTTGTCCACCAGTACAGTCATGGTCCACTACCATCATGGTCCACTACTGCTACTTCCACCGTTGCCAATAGTATAATCATGGTCCACTACTATGGTCCACTGGTACAACCATGGTCCACTCCCATCATGGTCCACTACTGCTACTTCCACCGTTGTCCACCAGTACAATCATGGTCCAATACCATGGTCCACTAGTACAATCATGGTCCACTCCCACCATGGTCCACCACTACCATTATGGTCCACCACTACCACCATGGTCAACCACAAACACCATGGTCTACCATCACCATGGTCCACTATTACCACCATGGTCCACCAGTACCACCATGGTCCACCACTATCGCCATGGTTCACCACTACAACAATGGTCCATTGCTACCACTATTGTCCACTACAAACATGGTCCACCACTATCTCCATCGTCTACCACTACCACCATGGTCCACTACTACCACCATGATTCACTCCTACCACCATGGTCCACCACTACCACAATGATCTACCACTACGAATGTGGTCCACCACCACCCTGATGGTCGACCACTACCCCCACGGTTCACCACTGCTTCCACGGGCCACACTACCACCATGGTCCACCACTACCCTGATGGTCCACCACTACCCCCACGGTTCACCGCTGCTCCCACGATCCACCACTACCACTATGGTCCACCACTGCCATCATGGTCCACCACTACCAACATGGTCCACCACTACCACCATGGTCCTCCACTACCCCCACGGTCCACCACTACCACCATGGTCCACCACTACCACCATGGTCCACCACTACCACCATGGTCCACCACTACCACCATGTTCCACCACTACCACCATGTTCCACCACTACCACCATGTTCCACCACTACCACCATGGTCTACAACTACAACGAATTAAGTCACGTCATGTTACTCAACACAGTTGAATCACGAAAAAAAAATCGCTAAACCTTTAAGAGTTAAACAGCACAAGTGACATGGGACGCAGTCATGTTAGCCAGGAGGAAAGGAAGGGTAGCACCATTCCCTTGAATCATGAGCCCAGCATGAGCATCATAGACCATCCCATGCAGGGGTAAAGACTTACCTAACACATTACAAATCCACCATGGTAAAAAAAAATCAGATTTGGGCAGAGGTGTGAGCGTGACGTACCTGAGCGTGACGTACCTGGGCTTCACACACGGCCGCTTGTCGCTCAGGCAACAGCAAATACAGAAGTTTATATCCTGGCGAGATTACAGTGAGGGATACAGCGGAGGGGAGGATGTGCCTTGGGGAGCGGGAAGCAAGCACCTTGATGCCACACTGGACCAGCCACAACTAACTCGCCACCACAGTGCCAAGTCCCTACTCAGTGCCAACACTGGTGCCACATGTCACCATCCTCTCCAATACACAAAAATATTAATAAATCTTAATAAATGATTTTCAATAGATAAAGTGTTTTATAAGAATTTGCTTATCAGTGTAATTTTCACGGTTTACACTTGCTGGTGGTAGCTTAGTTTTCAGTAGAGGGAGCGACTGCTGGAGACTGTGGTTCTGGCAACAGTGTTCCGGGGAAGGAAAATAAGACCATGGAATATCTGAGGGTGTGTGTGTGTGTGTGTGTGTGTGTGTGTGTGTGTGTGTGTTAGTGTGTGTGTGTAGTGTGTGTGTGTAGTGTGTGTGTGCGTAGTGTGTGTGTGTGTAGTGTGTGTGTGTGTAGTGTGTGTGTGTAGTGTGGTGTGTGTGTGTAGTGTGTGTGTGTGTGTGTGTGTGGTGTAGTGTGTGTGTGGTGTGTAGTGTGTGTGTGTGTGTGTGTGTGTGTGTGTGGTGTGTGTAGTGTGTGTGGTGTGTGTAGTGTGTGTGTGTTGTAGTGTGTGTGTGTGTAGTGTGTGTGGTGTGTGTAGTGTGTGTGTGTAGTGTGTGTGTGTGTGTGTGTAGTGTGTGTTGTGTGTGTGTGTGGTGTGTGTGTGTGTATGTGTGTGTGTGTAGTGGTGTGTGTAGTGTGTGTGTTGTAGTTGTGTGTGTGTGTGTGTGTGTTATAGTGTGTGTAGTGTGTGTGTATGTGTGTAGTGTGTGTGTTATGTAGTGTGTGTGTGTGTGTGTGTGATGTGTGTGTGTGTTGTGTGTGTGTGTATTGTATGTGTATGATGTAGTGTGTGTGTGTGTATGTAGTGTGTGTGTATGTAGTGTGTGTGTGTATAGTGTGTGTATGTGTGTTGTGTGTGTGTGTATGTAGTGTGTGTGTATGTAGTGTGTGTGTATGTAGTGTGTGTGTGCGTTTGTGTGTGTGTGTAGTGTGTGTGTGTGGTGGTGTGTGTGTGTGGTGTGTGTGTGTGTGGTGTGTGTGTGGGTGTGTGTGTAGTGTGTGTGTATGTAGTGTGTGTGTATGTAGTGTGTGTGTATGTAGTATGTGTGTATGTAGTGTGTGTGCATGTAGTGTGTGTGCATGTAGTGTGTGTGTATGTAGTGTGTGTATGTAGTGTGTGTGCATGTAGTGTGTGTGCATGTAGTGTGTGTGCATGTAGTGTGTGTGCATGTAGTGTGTGTGCATGTAGTGTGTGTGCATGTAGTGTGTATGCATGTAGTGTGTGTGGTGTGTGTAGTATGTGTGTGTAGTGTGTGTGTGTACTCACCCAGCTATGGTTGCAGGGGTTGATTCATAGCTCCTGGTCCCGTCTCTTCACTGATCGCTACTAGGGTCTCTCTCTCTCTCCCCGCTCCATGAGCTTTATCATACCTCATCTTAACACATCCCTAACATCCCTCTGACTCATCTGAGTCCTTAACTTGACCCGTTGTTGCTGAGTCCCATCTCTGGAACATACTGTCTTTGCCCACCTTGCTCGCAGTATTTTTTATGTCGTCATCGTGTCCCCCCGATTCCTCCTGTCCCCCAGTGTCATTAGGTAGATTTCCCTTAACCTTTCTTCGTAGGACATTTCCCTTAGCACCGGGATTAGTATTGTTGCAAACTTTTGCACTTTTTCTAATTTCTTGATGTGCTTTACCAGGTGTGAGTTCCAAACTGGTGCTGCATATTCCAGTATCTGCATGACGTACACTGTGTACAGAGTCTTGAACGATTCCTTACTGAGGTATCGGAATGATATTCTTAGGTTTGCTAGGCGCCCCTGTGCTGCAGCAGTTATCTGGTTGATGTGCGCCTCAGGAGATGTGCTCGGTGTTATACTTACCCCAAGATCCTTTTCCTTGAATGAGGTTTGCAGTCTTTGGCCCCCTAGACCATACTCTATTTGTGGTCTTCCCTGCCCTTCCCGATCTTCATGACTATGCATTTGGTAGGATTAAATTCCATGAGCCAGTTGCTGGACAGGGTTTGCAGCCTGTCCAGGTCCCTTTATAGTCCTGTCTGATCCTCATCCAATTTAATTCACCTAATTAACCTCACATTATCAGCAAACAGGGACACTTCTGAGTGTATCCCTTCCGGTATGCCATTTACATATACCAGAAGCAGCACCGGTCCTAGGACTGAACCCTGTAGAACCCTTCACCTCACAGGCGCGCACTATGACACCTCATCACGTACCATGACTCGTTGTTGCCTCCCTGTCAGGTATGCTTTGATCCACTGCAGCGCCTTTCCTGTAATGTGTGCCTGATCCTCTAGCTTTTGCATTATCATGTTGTGGAACTGTGTCGAAAACCTTCTTGCAATCCAAGAAAATGCAGTCTAGCCCCCTCCCCTCCCCCTCTCTCTATCTCTTTCTCTCTCTCTCTCCTCTTATCTTACGTTATATTTTCATAAAACTCCAGTAGGTTTGTGACACAGGATTTCCCTTCCCTGAAACCGTGTTGGTTGTCATGTATAAGCTTGCTCCTATCTAGGCACTCCATCATTCTCTTGATAATCTCCACGACTTTGCTTACTGTACATGTCAGCGACACTGATTTTTAGTTTATTGCTTCATGTCTCTCACCTTTCCATAAAATTGGGACTACATTTGCCGTCTTCCTTACCTCAGGTAGTTACCCAGTTTCAATGGATGTGTTGAAAATTGTTGTTAGTGGCACACATAGCATCTCTGTTTCCTCTCTAAGGACCCACGGAGAGATGCCCGGTCTCACTGCCTTTGAGGTATCTAGTTATTACGTAGTGTGTTGGCGAATATTGTATAAAGAAAACTCTCTATATATAATGTCAGTTTCCGGGATCTTTCTGAAACCGGAAGCGTATTATTCCTGGTCAGTCAGAGCGGCCAGGAGAGGAGAGTGAGGTGTGTTTTTGTCATTTTGTGGCGTGCAGCACCTGCAGCAAGAAGTCTTAAGACGTCACAGTTTGTTATTTGTAGGGATGGAGTTTTCTTGTAAGTTTATACCATAAGCTATTTTATTGTTTTAAGTGCTCTCATGTTTACCTGTAAGGCCCTAGTGTGCAGAGGCCTGCTTAAGTTTTGGGAGAGTACTCGTATGGTGTTTTTGCCTGCTGGTGGACAGACCGGCAGAAGGAGAAGGATGCGAGGGTGTCATGGAGCCTCCCTGTTTATAAATGTTTATATAATTTTTTTTACTCACTAGTAACAGTGTGCTAGTGAGCTAATGTGAGTACTGGTGTGTGGTGGTGTTGGGATGGAGTAGAATAGATTGCATGTTGAGTACTATTAATATATTATATTTTTTGTAAAGGTGATTTTTTGAGTCCAGCCTCATAATACATTGACCATTTAAATTTATGCTTCACAATCTGTATGAAGGTACAAGCTGGCCCTAGAGTGGTTTCTTTTTCTATTTTAAATAATGTAAATGCCCCTAGACTAAGCAGGTCATTTACCCTTTAAGAGCCAGGACTTTTATTAATGTTACGCAAGCCAAACGTTGTAACACTAGTTCACCTCCTCCTCGGTTGTATTCCGTCCAGCACTTGTTGGTGTGTCCCTTGCTGCTCGCCAGTATTTCGGCTTTCCGGAGTCCTTCCTGTCCCCACTGTAAATTTTTATTATAATCAAATAAAGCGCTATCCCCACTGTAAATTCTTCTCTAAATCTCACGTTGAGCTCCCCACATACTTCTTGGTCGTTTCTTGTTAACTCCCCTTCTTCCTTCCTCAGTCTGATTACTTGGTCCTTGACTGTTTTTCCTCTTGATATGGCTATACAACAGCTTTGGATCGGACTTCGTTTTAGATGCTGTTTCGCTTTCGTACTGTCCTTATCTGTGCATATTCGTTTCTGGCTCTTCGACTAATTTCTTTATTTTCCTGCGTACTTTGTCTTCTGTACTTTTTCCATTCTATAATGCACTTAGGTTTTTTTTCTCTCTCTAAGCCTTTGGGTGAATTAATGGCTCGTTCTGGTCTTCCCATTATTTCTGTTGACCTTGGGAACGAACCTCTCCTCTGCCTTCTTGCATTTTGTTGTCACGTAGTCCATGACTTCGTTTACTGATTTTCCTACCAATTCTCTTTCCCACTGAACCTCTTGCATGAAGTTCCTCATGCCTGTGTAGTGCCCATTTCCCCTTCTAGTTTGGCTTCTCCCTTCCTACTTCTGCTTCCCTCTCCACTTGTAACTATGTATTCGAAGCTCAAAACTACATGATCACTAGCTTCATATGTGATGTCCTCGGTGTCTGAACTTCTCAATGTGAATACGAGGTCCAATCTCGCTGGTTCATCCTCTCCTCTCGCTCTAGTAGTGTCCCTAACATGTAGACCCATGTTTCGGGTCCACCGTGTGGCTCCAAGTTTTCCCAATCTCCTTGTGATTGAAATTACCCATAACTAGTAACTTTGTCCTACCCGTGTGAGCCCTTCTGGCCACCTCAGCTAGTGTGTCCACCATTGCTCTGTTACTCTCTTCATATTCTTCTCTTGGGCTCCTGCAGTTCTGTGGCGGGTTGTACATTACTGCAATTACCATCTTAGGGCCTCCATACTGAATTGTTCCTACTATGCAGTCCTTTTCGCCCATTCTGCGTGTGTGTGTGAGCGTGTGTGAGCGTGTGTGTGTGAGCGTGTGTGTGTGAGCGTGTGTGTGTGAGCGTGTATGTGTGAGCGTGTGTGTGTGTGAGCGTGTGTGTGAGCGTGTGTGTGTGTGAGCGTGTGTGTGAGCGTGTGTGTGTGAGCGTGTGTGTGTGAGCGTGTGTGTGTGAGCGTGTGTGTGTGAGCGTGTGTGTGTGAGCGTGTGTGTGTGAGCGTGTGTGTGTGAGCGTGTGTGTGTGTGTGTGTGTGTGTGTGTGTGTGTGTGTGTGTGTGTGTGTGTGTGTGTGTGTGTGTGTGTGTGTGAGCGTGTGTGTGTGAACGTGTGTGTGTGAGCGTGTGAGTGTGAGCGTGTGAGTGTGAGCGTGTGAGTGTGAGCGTGTGAGCGTG